GTGTTCATGAAAATCTAAAGAAAAATTGATTTAGGAAAAATCGAACCTTAGGCCCATTAAGGCCCAAACCAAAATTGGACTACATAATCAATGAAATAATGCCTAATTAAGTTAGAAAATGGATTAGTAACCAATTTCGTCAAGGTTAGATGTGAAAGGGTTGTTAGGAACCTAAGGGAAATAACTTAGAAATGTTAAAATGTAGAGTAAGTTAATGAAACTAAAATGAAATATAATTGTTTACTTACTCTTATGTTATGATTGTATTTTCTTTCCAATAATCTATGTGATGAAATGAATAATGAATAATGGTTATGCTTGAGTTGTGATTGGTGATAATAATTGTGGTTATAGGGATCGATGAGCCAATGGTGATTGCACTTGCTTGATATGAATTAATGTTATTTATATCGTTATGCTTGCCTAAGTTTATACATGTTTTCATGATATAGTTACATGACCATTTAGGACATGCACTTGTGTATCACTCGTTAGCATGCATTGTCATTCAAAATGCATGTGCATGCCAAAGCTCATGAATAATGTTTTAAGTCATGAAAACGTATTTTATGCTATGAGTTTTTGATAGCATAATCGAATTATTTTAAAGAAAAGGATTTTCATGACTTTGAGGATTTTTATGAGGATGGGCTTCATGAGTTTTCCATATGGTAATGGTAATGATTTAGGACCGGAAAAGTGTAGACGTGCACTTTCAAAGGCTCGGTAGGGCGCGTTCGTGGATAGGTCCGGTTCGCCAAACATATATTATGGAAACCCCGGAGTACGTAAATGGGACATGTTGAAAGACAGAAAAAAGATTTTCGGACTGTTTATGAAATGTTTTATGACACGAGAAAAATGATTTATTATATATATATATATATATTCATATCAATATTTTATACATGTACATACACTACATCCATATGTTAACTTACGAGGTCTGTAGTTAATATAGTTCCTTGTGGTGTATATAAATAAGATACTATGGTTTACTTCTTTACGGAGCTGATTTCGAGGAATGCACCGGACGGTTATACCTTGGATGAGGTTTCGAAATCCAGTGGACATACTACATGTGATTTTATTTATCGTACTAGCTATTATCTTACATGTCTTAGAATTAGTCGGATCGTGTTATGTTATATTAGAAGCAATGAATAAGTAAGTGTAGTACTTTAAAATAATGTAATTGGTAAATAAGCCAATTTTTTTCATAGTTGGTATATAAGTAGTTTTGTATGTAAATTAGTAACTCTGTATGAACCGAGTATCGATAGTAAAAGGATAGTGTACTGATAGTAGTATAGTTACTTTAAATTGTCCATCGCATGCTAGCATCCTTGAATATTTAAGAGAATTTCTTAATTAATCGTTAAATAAAAAGAATAGTAAATAGAAAAGAGAATAAGTAATATAATAATAATTGATAATAAGGAATTACATCTTAATGAATTGCAATAGTTAATAAAGAAATGATTTGAACTAGCAAATAACCATAAATCCAATAATCCAGTTTCAAGTATGCGAGCAAATAGATCAAACGTGAAAATTTTATAATGTTTTTTAAGTTAAGTATAGGACTTACCTCGCTAATATTAGATTTCTAAGACATAAATTTCACTTTAGACATTAAGATTCAGTCATAGTGCCTTGTTAGCTTGCATTTATTGCACTTCAAATGTTGGTCAACAGCGGTAATATTCTTAACCTTTTAGGTCCTAAGTTAGGGATGTTACGGAAATGACCCTAGAATGGATGTGGACTAATTATGAGTAGAGGAATGGAGTTTAGTGGTGGTTTGGAGGTGTGGGAGAACGATGATAGTGGTCGGAGAAGGATAGGGAGAAGAAGAAGAAGAAGAAAGGGGCTAAATTAGGGTTAGGCAATAGCGATAGACGGGATCTCCTCGTTGGTCCATCGCTAATCCGTATCAAAAAGTCACTAATCCCCTCGATATAAGTAAGTTCCGACACAAACTTATCATAAATTGTCGAGCTTCTATTGCTAATCTGTCGCAATTTAGACAGCTTTTATCTTTCAAGAAGTTCGTCCAATTTTTCCCAAATTCTCACCTTTAGCATCAAATTTTTTCATCGCTAAATTAAAAGGGATGTGTCATTTAGCGATGGAATATCCATGGCTAAACCGTGACATTGAAATTAAAAACGAATTTGCCATTACGTTTCTATTTTTCATAGCAAATCTATCTTTAAAACTCTCGAAATGATTTTACCATCAAATTAGTAATAAATTAGTACCGATCGCTAATAAATCATCGCTAGTCCGTCACTATTCTATCGTTATTTGTTTACTATTTTGCTAATTTTCATCACTATTTAGCAAAATTTATTTAGAGTCCGAAGAAAAAAGTTGTCAAACGTAAATAACATGAAATTAGGTTGCAATGATATAATATAATTTAGAACATAATTAGTAGTATAAATTAAGCTATATACACCCAAAATTTGCAAACATACCATACATATAATTCAGATAGTTCTTCTATCTAGTATTTGCATGCAATCTATAACATTTGCTTGGCTATTGACTATTGTTGCGTGTTGACTTATTATTATTATTATTATTATTTTCCTTTTGTCGCTCGTTCCTTACAATAGGCGAACAACCAGTTCTCCTATATACATATAGGCCACTATACCTTAATATTTCAATCAAATAAAAAAACAATATTGTCAAAGGAATGATATGCTCAACTTTTATGCGACTATATATATATATTCGTGAAAAGCACACATCCGTGGTGTCTATGACTATATATGCATATGTTAATTTTTTTTTCTTTTAACTACAAAACATTTTAAAAATTAAGTTATATTCTGCAACACATGAATAATTGGCAAATGTCCAATTTCCTTTGTATCCGTTGATAAATTATGGCTATACTTCTAACGTTTGAGAAGTAGTGATGCTCAACTCAAAAGCTAAATAACATACGTCATTGGTGTACCTGGTCAAAATATTTTAAAGTAATTAATGAATAATTATTAATATTTACTTCATGTAAAATAGATAAATGCAAGAGAAACATAAGAGATAGAATTAAAAAAAAACTATTTTAAAAATGTTCTTATTGTTTTTCACATATCCAAACATGACTCCTTTTCTTTTAATTTTGTATTTATCTTTTTCTCCATAATAAATTTATAAAATATATGCTAATAGTTATTAGTCCCTTATTCTAAAATTTCTTTTAAATATTCATCACTGCTACGTGGTACTTATCTTGTTAACGTAGTTTGGAGAATGATATTTTTGCTGGAACTTGGGAGGTGACAAAACTCAACACAGTTGTTTTTTTGTTTTTTTTCGGTGAATGAAGGGGCATGTATCAAATCAATACAATTAATCTAGGATTTGTTTTCAGTATTTGTTAAGTTATGAAGACTAATGTATGTTCTACGTTTTAATGCGTTATATAAAATCAGTACGGCAATCTTGTTAATTCATTAAATTTTTTGAGCCATAGTGTATTAGTCTACAAGAATTGAGCTAATGTATAGACTTATTAGATTTTTTGTAATTCTAATTATTCATACTATAAATAAAGACAATATTATTTATATTTGTAGTCATTAATTGAAAAATCTTAATAAAAATTTTAATACAATCGTAAAGTAGACATAATTTTTTAAACTATGTAAATTTTGTATTTTATAATTGTTTCTTGTGTTTATATTCTATCTTCTTGCTTGATAGTATTACGAACTTGCCAAAAAAAATCTATAAGAGATATTTTAATTTATTTAATTACAGTCCACTTAATTAAATTAAACGTATTATCTACCGCTCGAATCCATCCATGGGTAAGGTGGGAGAAGAAAAGGTTTGTATTCCACCCACTCCCAATCTTAAACCTTATCTCTTCACCACCAGTATTATTTTTCCTCCAATCTTATTCCATTGGAGGAGATTTTTCCATATCAACTAATATTTTCTTTTCACCCACTCCTCACCCAAATTTCTTAAATCGAAGGGTTAACAAATCTATATATAGATGGATGGATAAAATCCACGAGACAACTGGCGTTACCCAATTGGACCAAGGAATAGTAGTAGAGAAATTCCGCCATGGAAGAAAAAACTGAAAACATGACTCCAAGAGAAAGTGATTGTTGGCAATAATAATTCTTCTCATTAGATTGAGGGGACATATATAATGACTGAGTCGTAGCTAGCTAGCTAAGCTAGCCTTGGTTATTTATTTTTATTTTTACTTTTATTTTATTTTTTTGAAAAAGCTTGGAAAGTTCACTTATCATGCACGTAAAGGCAAACAAGTAGTGCTAGTTTGTCCCTGAACTAGGAGGCAAAAAGCAACTCACTTCTTGCTTGCACAGCCAATTAAGAAGTCAAGCCCGGCGGAATCGTAAGCTAAAATGCCAAGAAAACCCTTACATCATTTCAAGAAAGCTATCTTTCAGAGGATGTTTCTGTCCATTTGAAGAATATATATGAACTTGTTCTTGAAATCTTTCATACACACACAGAGAGAAAGAGATCAGAGGACGACATAATTTTACTGTCAATGAATAGTCACATAAGTGGCAGAGAGACAACATGAATCAAAGCAAAGCGACAAGTTTCGATGTTAAATTACAGTGACAGGAAGAAACTGGCAATCAGGTGGCGTGTTAATAAACTCGTAAGAAAGTTTCAAATCTGTGAAAGTAAAGCAAGATTCACATGAGGTATAGACTGGTCAAACCCTTCTGTCCATATTTTTTTTTTAGCAGCTAGAGCCAGTCACGTGCAATCAAGTAGATCATGTGCATGCAGTGCAACGATGAACGGCTCAGATTATCCCATGATCTTGCATTTGGGACTATCCACTTGGTTCGACAAACCCAACACAATCAATCAATGTATGAGAAGACCATAAAACGACTGTCGTACGAAAATGGTCACCCATCTTTAATTTTATATTAATTTTAGGGTCTTTATTTTTTAATCATGATTAGAAAAAGGTGTGTGAGATTATCTAATGGGTAACTTACTAAAGATCTTCACATCGCAAGTAAAACAAAAGCAAAGCAAATATTGGCTTGGACCATACTCAACCGTGGCATCACGTGAGCAAGCATGCGATCCCATTTCTCACATCGATAACGAGGGAGGATGGGAGTGGGACTGATCAATGGCAAATGCGTTAAGCAACATCCTCTGCATTGTCTACTGAAACTCTCTGTTTAGATTTCAGTCAGATTCTCTAACCCAGTCAAGTTATAGATCCTTTTAGAAGTTTTTTAAATCGATTCCTTCAAATCCCAACAAAATGGGAATGAGTGGATCGACATAATTTTACGTTAGGGGATGGGTTTGATATAATTCTACGTAACCTCTCCAACCTCATCTCCCTGACTTGTAAAAAATTTAATGCTTCCTTGATGTGGTATTTTGCTTTTAAATCAACTGATTTTACCCCTTCGTTCGTGGGATATTTATATCTTGATGACTGCATCCATTTTTGTTTGTAAATTGCAATATTATTTTTGCACTAGTACGTGACACACAAATGCGCGCACACACGTGAATGCACACCTAATCCCTTGATATTGCACCTAACGCCCGCTCTGCAAAGGAACAACAGGAGTTGACAAATGAAAATCCAGGCATAAAAATGGCTATTGGATTATCCTATTGAACAAAAAAAACTACAATTTGAGTAGCCTAATTAGTTCAATAGTATTTTGTACAATCAGTAAAATAAAAATTGATATCCTAACTTTAATTTTTTTTTAATTTGAGAATCACAATTATTTTTTAATTTGTAGTTAAATTGTTTGATTCTGTTTACAAAAACTCCGAACACGTTTTTTTGCTTGTAATGCTGATATAACCCAATAAATAAAACACAAGTCGATCCTTTAATAGTATTGTCCTTTTTAGTAACCATATTAACACTGCATAATTAAAAATTACCCACACTCCTAAATTAAAACAAAAGATTAGATTTTTTTAAAAAAAAATCCTAAATCATTTAATCAAATCTCTCATTTCCTTCCTCTTTCTCTCTTTATTCTCCCTGACACTCTTCCCTTCCACCACTACCAGCACCTCCCTCCCTACCTCCTCCTCTGTCACCTTCACCACCACCACATTTCGCATCACCTACACTGAACCATCGCCGCCCTTCCCTTTTTGTACACCCTTTCTCCCTACAGATTGTGTCCTCTCTGCTCTCTCTTTCCTCACATTCTGGACAAGTAACCAAGTCTTATTTCCTAACCTGAATGAAACGGTTGTATCTATAGCACCAATACAACAATTTAGTTGGAGATGACATCAAATTGAATGAAAATCAAAATTTTGGGTTCCATTTGTTGAAAGATTGGAGCTTTTTGGTGTTTGGTTTGAGAGAAAATGAAAGGAAAAAAGTTTTGAGTTCTTATTTGAAAGAAAAAAATGGGAGGGGCTAAGATTATATTAGTTGAGAGGGATAATTTAACAGTGGAATTTCTATGTTTGTATGGTTGTTTTTTGGTGTCATAAACAAGTTGCATAATTGGATTTTTGTGTACTGTTCATAAATAAGATAGAATACCTGTTGCAATTAATATAGGTTTTTTCTTGCCTTAGTTTCTTGAATGCATGTTACTTGATTTTCTCATCTGTTAATTTTTCTTTGATGTTTCTACAGAAAGACTAGAAGCCAAGTTGGATGCTTTGTTAAATGGGTAAATTAACAAAGCATGGTAATGTTAAATGTTGGATGTTTTGTTTTGTGGGTAAATTAAACCAATGGTTTCTTGAGTTTTTCAATCATTTTATCGTCATGTACCCGTCTAGCATGTTCAAATTTTTTTAAATAGAATCAATTGACTTAATTTATAAACTAAAAAACAATTGTGATACTCAAATTAAAAAAATTAAAGTTGGGACATCAGTTTCTATATGACCGATAGTATAAATAACTATCGAACCAATTAACCATTTGAGTAATTAAACACTGATTTTTATTCTATTTATGTCTTTAATATTTTATTTCATCTATTTGAGTGTTCAATCAATAATTTTTTTTATCTAAATTATTTCTTCAATTATTTGAACTTGAAAAATTCTTATGTGATCAATATTTATTAACACAAGTTACCCATAAAAAAAGTAGATCCTACTCATAATTGTTTAAAAATAATAATAATTAGAGAAAATAGTTGGCAAAAATTGAAAAATACATAAACGAGGAAAATACCTATCAATATTGAACTAATCTAACTTTTTTAAGACAAAAAAAAAAAAAAAAAAAAAAAAAAAAAAACCTAACAATTTATTCCCTTCAATTGATCATTAATCAAATTTTCTCCTCAAGCCCTTTGCCACCACATTTTCTCTATGCCATCTGATCTCCACCTTAAGAACTCCTTCTTTACTTATTATGTTATAAAATGCTTTTTGGTGAATGCTTTTTTTATAAATGTCTCTCACGAACCCCAGCTCTATCAAAACCATGTCTTAATCACCACCAGCACCATTAGATGTTGTTACAACCATTATTTCATTCAATCTCACCTCTTTTCTCCACCTTAATCAACACCATAATTATTTATTGACCCCTCTTGTAATAACCCAATTTTTACTCCATTTATTTTCATACAAAAATCAAAAAAAAAAAATTCAAAAATTCAAAACAATTAGAATGTTGCATAGTTTGTCCTTTTCGTGATTTTTAGGCATTTTATAAATTTTTAGGATTTTAATTTCTAAGAATTGTTTCCTATTTTTAATTAAAAAAGAAAGAAAGAATAATGAAAAACAATTGAAAAGATGATTTGGGATCCAATTGAAAATGATGTGAAAGCTAAGGATCAAGTGACGTTCAATTCGGAATGTAATTGAAAATGGATAAAAATCAAGGAACTTTATTGAGAATTAATCAAGTACAAAATTACAAAAGATTAGAGAGTAGGGATTAAACAATTTCTATCAAAGAGATAGCTAGAGAAAAATAATGAAACATACATTGAAATTTAAAAAACTAGACCAATAAAGAACTAAAATTGGTTTTATTTCAAATCCTAAAAAAATCCCTATATAAGCACCATTTCACTTCAATTTTTAAGGGAGCCTCCACAATTATTCCCCTACCCATAAAAGCCTAGACTTCACTCAATTTTCCAAAAAAAAACAAAAAACAAAAAAAAAACAAACTAGGCTCCATAATTATTTCCCTACATAAAACAATCTAGCTAAAATACTCATCAACCCAACTCATAAACAAGAACTAAAATGTAGAAAATTCACTATTCATCATCTCTAAAAAAAAACAATTACAGGACATAGATCCAAGAGAATAACAAAAGAGAAAAGGAGGTTTTGCCAAATAGCCCTACTTGGGGTTGTCGACCCGAGTTACCCGTGAGTCAACCCACGGATCCATCGGCATTCCCGCTTCAAATCCGCCATCCTTCAACCAAAATTGATTCGATCCATAACCACTAGGAGAGAAGAAGACACCGAAGGAAGGATAAATCGAGGAGAGAAAGTCGGCAACTTGATTCGGTCGTGTACTCGCTATTATTGTCATTTTTTTAGCCAAATCAACAACACCCACTACCACTCATCCTCTTATAAGCTATTCCCTTTAGAAATCACAAAAAAAAAAAAAAAAAACCTCTCCAGAATTAGCCGAATCAAAGAAAATAGGAACCAATTGACTCATTTACTTGTTTATTTCAAATCCAACCAAATCTCTTCAATCTAATCAAATTGAGCTTCCTAACCACTATAGAAATGATCCTCGTGGTCCTTTAAGTAGCTTAATGGTCCGATCTTGCCTCAAAGGTCTCTTCACCAAATCTCTATAACTTAGGTATGCGAAAAGAATCTCAAAAGTCTATTCACATTCTAAATCAACCTTTTCATGAAAGTACTATTATGGCTGCTTTTTCTAATAACAAAAGAAGGATGGATGTTACATGCTCTTATTATGGTAAACTCGGCATAATAAAGACAAATGCTACATGCTCAATGGATTTCCTCCGAATTTCAAGTTTACTAAGAATAGAGATTTCGGTGGTAATTGAGCTTCTTCCGGTCATGGCTATGGAAGTTTTTCATCTCAATATGTCAACAATGTCATTTTTGAACAAGGAGAATAGTGTGTTTCTACATAGTACTATTTCATCTAATTAAGTCACATTACCAAATATTGCATTAAGTCAAAAGTAAGTTTTCAAGTTCATAGGTCTTTAAAGTATTCAAGATCTAAAGGCTTCACCATCAAAATCTTCAAAAATTTCAATCATTCCATTACATCTCATTCTTAACCTTTTTCTAGTCTTATTAGTAATACTCTTATTATATCTATTTATCACCCACAAACTACAATATCTTTCTTTAATCCACACTCCTGGATAATTGATACGAGTTCAATTGATCATATATCATACTCTATTATGTGTTTGAAATCCTACAAACTAGCGTTTGATGTTACATTCCAAATGCCAAATGGCATTAAAGTTATTGTTACTTGTATTGGTCAAGTTTGTCTATCATGGTCCTTTATTTTGCATGATGTCTTATGTGTTGTTTTCCTTTCGCTTCAATCTTATTTCAATTAGTAAACTTACCAATAATTCTCAATATCAAATAATATTTTCTAATAATTTGTGTATGATCCAAGATAACTCTTTAAGGATAATGACTGGAACTCGCTAATCTCCAAGTAGAAATGTTCTTCTTTCAGTGTATTTCGGTTTGTCTTTTCTCTTATATTAAACATTCTTGCATTGTTCAATTTGTTAGTGACGGATTCGAAAATCAATTGGTATTTGATACATGGCATTGTAGGTCAATCATTTATCATTTGATAAGATAATCTTGATTAGTCAAAAAACATTTTGTTGTTCAATGTAATGATAATACCTATTTTTTTTGTCCTTTAGTAAAATAAAAAAGTTACCATTTCCTATTCATGATAAAAATATATCTTTTCCTTTCGAATTGACTCATATGGACACATGTGGACCATATTTATTTATTTCTCTTGGTAATTTTCACTATTTTTTTTATTATGGTTAATGATTTTACTAAAGTTACTTGAGTTTTCTTGCTTCGACATAAGTCGGATGTCTTATCCATCATTCATTCTTTCTATCAAATGATCCTTACACAATTTGGTTTTCCTCTCAAACA